CCCCAGCTGCCGCTCAGGGTGGAGGTGGAGAAGATCCCAGTGCCTGACGGTTTCACCCAGACCCTCAACGATCACTTGCTGCTGGTGTACACGGGGAAGACTCGCCTGGCCCGCAACCTGCTCCAGGTAACGCCCACGTGTCCCTGGGTGCCACAGCCCTCTGCTCCCCGCCAGCCTTTGGTGCCTGTCCCCTTCATTGGTGCAGAGCTTTGTCACCCCCATGGGAGTGAAAGGGGTGTGGGTAAGTGGTGCTACTGGAGCCGGCGGGAGTGTGACGGTGACATTCTGGCCTCTTGCAGGACGTGGTGAGGAACTGGTACGCCAGGCTGCCCTCCACCGTGCAAAATGCCGACGCACTGGTGAGCAACGCCGAGGAGTGCGCCCAGGCCTTGACACAAGGTGCGAGCCCCTTTTCCTGGGATGACTGAAGCAGCACAAACTCCCCCAGGGAGAGTCTGTGTGGTCCTGGGGTGGCAAAGGCTGGGGGGTGCAGGCTCTTGCAGCTGCAGAAGCCTCAAATCCTCTCCTCCAGGCCCACCCTCACATTGTAGGCAATGACCCAAAATTCTGGCTTGAACAAAAACTTTAAGGAAGGTGGAGGTGGTTAGAGACACCGAGTCTGGTTGATTTTCTGCGGGCTGTTTGTGATGGGATTGATGCCCAGCCGTGCAGGGGATTCATTCAGCCTTGGCTGCTGTGATGCTGCGGAGGGGAGGCTGGAGCATTGAAGCAAGCAAATTCTCCTCCTGTGGGGGATTAAAAATAAACAGCAACGTGCCAGGGCCGGGTTTGCTTGCTTGGCCATGTTTTGCCAATCAACGGGGTTAGCACAAAGGACACAGGCACCAAATTAAAAAAAAATTAAGCTTATTTTCTGTTTAAAGTGATAAAATAAGGAAAATAATACAGTGAAAGTAAAGCAAGATAAGGTAAAGCAGCGAAATACTAAGCAAACTATTCTAGCAAGCATAAAATAAGGTAATGCACCTAATCATTGCTACATAGAGTTAGCGATAGTGATTCAGAAAGATCCGTCACCAATTGCCCTGATAACATGTTACCATCATCCAGATCTGCAGTCGCCGGGGAGCCCAGTTGCAGCGAGGATTTGGAGAGAACCCTTCCCAACAACTGGGAAATCTCTATACAGTGCATCCACTGTATAGATGAGGCTTCCAAATTTCCCTGCAAACATTCCCCGCTTTTATACAGTCAAATAGACAACTTTCTATCTTAAACAGCGAAACACATCTGGTGTAGTTTTGGTTTTTTCCTTGTTAACTTTTTATTGAGTTTGGCCAGAACCCAAGAAAAAGTTAAGAAGTAAAGTATCCGGTAATCTTGATGATGTATCTCTCAGCAAAGCCCATCACTGCCCTGTGAATTCTTTTCTGTCTGTTGGTTTGAGATAGGTGTATCTGGTTTTGACAAATGAGACTTACCGTTACACAACTGTTATCTTACAGCAAGCATCACAGCAAAGCTCTATTAAGCGTTACAACAAAAGCTTTTATAAATTGGCATCTATTCATTAGGTAATCCATTGCATATGTGATCAATACACATATCAGATATATTGTTAGGCTGTGAGGTTCATCTACAGGTCAGCTTTGGTGCAGGGCCTCGCTGCTCAGGTGCTGGTATGTCAGGCAGGCAGAGCTGGGAGGAACTGGATAGATGAGAAAGAGGAATTTAGCTTGGGCTGAGCAGAAAAGGCAGGACCAGGTTTCTGCCCCTCGGGCAAGCAATAGAGGCAAATAGTTTGTGATATCCTCTCCCTTGCAGGTAACCTGGCGCTCATCGGCAAGTGTCTGGACCGCTACTGGCAGCAGAAGAAATGCATGGCCCCTGGGTGTGAGCCGCTGGCTGTCAGCCGCATGATGGATGCTCTCCGGCCCTACGTCTATGGGCAGTGCTTGGCTGGGGCCGGAGGCGGCGGCTTCCTCTACGTCTTAACCAAAGCCCCTCGGCAGAAAGAGGCTTTGCACCAAATTCTAGCAAAAATCAAGGTGAGATGTGAGCTCCCAAGCGGTTCGCTGTCACAGGTGGCTTCCAAAAACTTGCTTTATATAGCACAAGCACTAGGAGCATCTCACCCTACCACGAGTGGGAGGAGATTGTCTGCCCTCTCCAGGACCTTGGAGATGAGAGCAGGTCTCTTGATGGCTCCTGCCCCAATGTATAATTATTTTTTTTTTCCCCCCCTAGGGACTGGGTAACTTCAGCATCCACAGCATCGAAGTGGACACGGGCGGTTTCTCTGTGGAGGTCATGGGATGCGATCCAAAGGACGGTGCTCACCCGAGAGGATGCGGCAGTGCCTTCAGCCCTGCCCCACTCCTGGCAGATCCGCAGGGCAGGGGAGGGAGCAGCCAGCTGCCTTCCAAAGCAGGGACATCCCCACTGCTGTAGCAGCAGCTCCTTCGGCCAGCTCCAGCAGCTGCCTTAGGTCTTGATGGGGCCTTTTTGTGTTGCTGCTTGCCCCTGGAACCACAGAGGCTGGAGAAGCTGTGACAAGCTGGGCAGGCAAAACCATCCCTGGAGGGTGGCCTTGCCCAAATGCCAGTTTGCTAGGGCCTGGGGGCTGATTTTAGGGTTTCACTCTGGTTTTTGTGGTTCTCCAAGGGGAAAACGGGTGGCACAGAAATGCTGCCTCTAGCAGGAACCTTCCTGCTCACCCAGCAGCAGGGGCCCGTGCTGCCCGTCAGCATGCAGTGCTCCTGCACCAAGGATGCACCTGGATGTGGAACTGAGTCCCTGTCCCGTGCCGAGACACTACTTCTGCAGTGAGTTATTAGTCCCTGCAGTCTGTTTGAATAAAAAAAGTTGTTCCCAGGATGTGTTTATGCCCCTCTGTCCCTCCCCAGAGGATAGCAAGGGCCCAGCACTGTGGGGGCAAAGCCCTTCCGGGGTGGGTAAGGCAGAAACCACCTGCAGGGGCTGGGCATGGCCCTACAGCCCTGGGTGGCAGGGGACAGCAGGGAAGTGCTGCCCCAGGAGTGGGCTGGCATCAGGTACTCTCTCAGGGGTGTTGGTGCTCTCACTGTCCCAATGCCAGCTGGAGTGGGCAGGAAAATCCTCTTGACGCCATGGCACAGGGCAGAAGAGGAGAAATGGTGAACAGCTCTCGTCCCTCCGTTCTCCCGGCCACACACCACCCGTGATGGCTGTTCAGCCAGGTGAGGCACAGCGCAGCGAGCCAGCAGGGACACAGCCCTGGTTCCTACAGCAGCTTTCTAGGGAATTTCCAAGCACCCTCCCCACAAGGAAATAATTTCTTTTCCCTTCTCCACAATGGTCCCCATCGCCACCAGGAGAGCGCCAGGGCTCAGGATTTGCAGGACTCCAGCAGCTGACCTGTAAACGGGTGGCACAGAAGGACCACGACTGCAGCCGGCTGCAGGTGCAGCGCTTGCCCTGCAGACCCATATTTGAACCACACCACAACAGCCCCCAAATTTCCTGGCCTGTGGCCTCCTGCGGGGCAGTGGGATGAGGGGAGGTGGGAACTAGCACAGCTCGTCCTTCAGACCAGAAACGTGTTTTCAGAAACAGCATCACGCTGCTCTCAACGTGAGAGATTCCTCTGCTGCCTTGTTTCCTCTCCCACAAAAGGATGGCAGCTCTTCCTCCCAGGCCCGGGAAAGCCCTCTGCGATGAGGAACACCAGCAAGAGGGCAGACATCGCCCCATCCCCACTCCACGCCGCAGCCAGCCCACCCCAGGGCAGGACCGGGGCAGGCTCCAGGGCTGCAGCCGTCCTGCCGTTCCCTCCAGCGCTGCGCTGACCCAGACACCGACTGACTACAGGCGCAGCCGCTTGATATCCTCGCTGCGGAAGTCGATGCGGAGAGCCAGCACCTGCCGGACCTCGGCAGGAGTGAGACGCCAGGTGAGTGGGCCGGAGTTTGGGCCCCAGTAATCCAGGATCTCCGTCACCTGGAGAGAGAGGAGAGCTGCAGGAGATGACTCGGCACCAGCCACCCTCCCAGGTGAGTTCAAACAGGCTACAGTCACGGGATTTCCTGCCACTAACCCCTGCAGGCAAACACCCATCGGGCGTGGGGCAGCTTTGCCAGCTCCTCCATACCCCAGAGGTGTGACAACACCTGGATGAGCCCAGGAAATCCATGGGGTGTCCAGCTGGTCTTCCTGCAGTCCCCCGATAAAAGCAGACAGTGTGTGGCTCACCCGTTCCAGGTTGAGGATGGTGGCCATCTGGGAAAGACGGGCAAACTTGTCCCGGATGGTCCAGGTGGTGACGGTGGTGAGATAGGCTATGAGAGACCTCAGCTCCTTGTCAAACTGCAGACCACCGAGCTGTGGGGACAGAGAGGCTCTGTTAACTCTCCGAGCAGGCCCCGGGGTTGTGCCAAACACACAGTTGACAGAAGTTACAGGAGGAGGTCCCCGAGCAGGAGGGTTCCAGTTGGACCATTTATTGCAGGTTAAGCTGGCTTGTGTTCAGACCCACCTTGAAAGCCAGCTCCTTATTGATGCCAGCTCTTCCCAGCCCCCTCACAAAATCCATTTGATCCCCTGCGCTAATGCAAGGTCTTCCTGAGCTGCCCACCAGTGGTGGCAGAACTTTTTTGAGGGTAACGTTTCCCTCCGCCCTGGCCCATCCCTCTCCTGAGGGTTTCCCGGGGGAGGGTTTGCAGCCAAGCCAGACTGCAGGACAGAGAGCAGTGTCTGCTTACCCTGCTGAAGGTGGATTTGAGCAGCACCTTCTCCAGTTCGATGGCTATGAGACTGGTCATGAGCCCAGTGAGGGTATCGTAAATCACTGGAGACAGCCCAGCCTGGAAGCAGAAACCGGTGTCATTGTCAGGAACAGCTGAGCACAGATCCACAAAACTCAAGCTTACGAGAGCTTTCCAATAAAGACCCATCGCTTGCACGCTCAGCCAGTGGAAAGCACAAAGCACCGGCAAAAGCAATGCAGGTACGTAGGGCCTGCAAGTGGGCTTTGAAAACTGACAGAGAAGAGGGTGATTGATCTCTAAGAGCCCTGCGAGGCACCGGGGGACATCTCTGTCTGCCGTTCCCCTGGGCAGGGGAGCAGCTGGGAGATGCCACGCGAAGGGCTGGCGGGCTGCCGTGCGCCACTCTCACCTTGAACTCGGTCATCTGCTGTTCCAGATTGACGATGAACTGCTGGACCCAGGGATCGTTCGCTTCGTAGTCACTGAACTCTTCCTGCCATGGAAATACAGAAAGGGTTGTTTATGTGGCCTGCCCCGGACAGCGCAAATGGCCTAGAGGACAGGAACGGAGCGGTGCTGCACCCCTTCCCTTTCCTCGCGCTCCGCTCTGGCCACATGCCTCTTTCCAGGCTCGGATGCAGAGCAAGTTCTGGGTGTTTTACTGGTGCTCCATTGAGGAAACAGCAGAGAAGTGAGGGGAATGGAGACAGGGTTTGTGGTGACCGTGCTGGTGAGCAGAGGCTGGAGAGCACGAAGTGTGTCTGGAAGCGGAGAACACTAAGCCTTACCTCCTCGATGTTGTGGGAGACAGAGAGGAAGAGGTTGATCCAGGGCTTCACCTGGGGTTTGATGGCTGTGCTGTTCAGCTCGTTGAGACCTTCCTGAGGGGGACAGGGGGAGGAGAGGAGAGTGACTGAGCACAGCTGACATCCAACAACACCCAACCTTTCCAGCCAGGCTGGCTCCAGGCTGCCTCACACCCCTGCTGCGAGCTGCGGGACCCGACCCACAGGAAACCAAACCCACAAGCCTCCGACCCCTCTGGTGCTGGAGGGCTCTGGGGACATCACAATGACAAGAGGAGGAAGGGTGTTGGCCCAGAAGCTGCTGTTGTGCTGACTCACAGCCCGGTCTGCAGGGCTTGTGCTCCCCCAGCCCTGCCCGCACAGCTCCAGAGGTTTCCTGGCAGGAGAGAGGCGCTTGGTTCACATCCCACCAGGGTGGGAAAGGACGCAAACACCAGCCTTCCCGCTCAGGGCCAGCCAGGAGGACACTATGCTTGGACTCGGCTGGTGCCTCCCACCTCCCATACAGCTCAGCTCAGTAGGAGAAGCTAAAGGGAGGATAAAAGCTGTAATGACAGTTAGTTCCCTGAATTAATCATAACCCCAGCACACACCAGCTCCCCCAAGCAGCAGTTTCTGTCCGCTTCCATGCTGGAGAGCTCTCTGAAAGTCCTCCCCTGCCAACCACCCCCGTTTGGCTCAGCAAGATGTCAAGAAAGCTCACCCAGCATGAAACTATTCAGGTACTGATACTGCCTGGCATTTGATGGAAGTTTTTAACTCAAATTGGCATTTCTGAGCAGGCCCTGCTGGCAATTGCCCTTTTCCAAGGCAAATTCAATGTGTGCGTGACTCAGGCAGCACAGGAACTTGCTGCTCAGCCTCCTGATTGCTTTGCAGCCAGTTTTAATACTGCAGTAGCACTAGACTGGAAAGTTTTACTCCTTACTGATGAGCTCTTTGGTTTCGATGCTGACCACAAGCCTCAAGAGGGTTTGCTGGCAACACCAGTCTGGAGGTGTTTGACTTCACTGAACTGCAAAGCCAATGAAAAAGGGTCTGGCCCTTCTGTGAAGTACAAAATTTGATGGCAAACCTGGCTCAAAATATTCTGTTTTGCTTTGTTTCTTTTCCCAGGAGGTATCAGGTCTTCCTGCTCCCCTCCCTGCCAGAAGCCACGGTGAAATTTTAGGGCAACAGGTCCCAGCGTGACACATGAGATGGTGGTTTTAGCCAGAGAGCCTCCTGCTCCATGCTGGGGAGAGTTTCTATTTGGGAAAGGATGAGGAACCTGAGAGAAGAGCAGCTGCTTCTCCACCAACAGCCCATCTTCACCTTACCTACTGAGGATCTGGACAACGTGCTGTGCCACAAGGGAGAATGGAGGAGATGGAAATGCTGTTAATATTTCTTCTCCTGAAAATGCTGAACCAGCTACGACAGTCTGGAGAGCTGGGTCTGTGCGAACTCCATGAAGTTCAGCAAGGCCAAGGGCAAGGTCCTGCACATGGGTCAGGGCAACCCCAAGCACAGACACAGGCTGGGAGGAGAATGGATGGAGAGCAGCCCTGAGGAGAAGGACTTGGGGCTGTTGGTTAATGAGAAGTTCCCCATGAGCCCGCAACGTGCACTTGCAGCCCAGAAACCAC